TAATACAGGGTTAAATTTGAGCTTTCAATCACACACTAATCAGGAACTTCAGGACTTGATTTATAATGAGACCTTCACCCATCTTCCACATTTGAATGCACTTTCTTGCCCTTTAATCACTTCTGTTAATCTTCCCAGAACTCTCTCCAGCTTCTCAGTCTTTCTGGCTACGAAGAACAAAAGGTGAAACTATGTACTCCAGTGTGGTCTCGCTGTAGTTAAATGCAGAGAGACTGATGCCTCCTTTTTCTTTGTAAAAGGATGCTTCTGGAAATTTTCAGTATATTTGCATTCCTGTTTTTTAATCATTTGTTAGTTTTGCAAGGTCCCAAAATAGAATTCATTTCTTTCTATTTCTTTTTGGGATTCAGCAAGAAAGCAACAGGACTCGGGCACTGGACTGGAAGTGAAGATGTCTTGAGTGAAAACCTGGCTCCATTGAAGTCAAACACAAAACCTCCAACTTTCCTGTGTTCTATTCCCAGTTTTGCATCTTTGACAAATCCCTTAATCAGTGTGGCTGTGTCTAGACTGCATCTAGACTAGAGGGGGAGGGATAGCTCAGTGGTTTGAGCATTGGCCCAGGGTTGTGAGTTCAATCCTTGCGGAGGCCATTTAGGGATTTGGGGCAAAAATTCATCAGGGGTGGTACTTGGTCCTGCTGTGAAGGCAACGGACTGGACTCAACAACCTTGCAAGTTCCCTTCCAGTTCTAGGAGATAGGCAATCTCCATTATAAAAAAAAGAAATCCCTTTTCTGATTTAAATCCCCCCTGCTTCATTTGCATAAACATGGCTGGCGCTTTTTTCCAGCTCGGAGCTTTGCCGGAAAAAAGCGCCAGTCTAGACGCGGATCTTTCGGAAAATAAACCCTTTTCCAAAAGATCCTTTATTCCTTATGTCCTTATTTTACGGAAAGGGGATGCAGTCTAGACATCCTGTGTGCCTTTGTTTCCTTTTCCCTTTTTCTGTATTTCTCTATTTAGATTGCAAACGCTCCAGGAAAGGCCCTATGTTTTATTGGTTGTTGGTATCTAGTTTTTACGATGTATTTTTATTTGTTATAGTTTATTCTGTTTTAAGATTGATTTATATAAGATACAGAATATCTATTGCTTTTATCATGATGGCCAGTTAATATAAGAGCTTGTCTTCACAGCTGTCCATCTTTTCAATTCAATTTAGAGGGTCTAGTAAAAGACCTGCTAAATCAATTGCTAATGGTGCCCCCCCCCATTGACAATGGCCTCGTTTCTCCCGTTGACCTCCCACTGCGGGGACGGCGCTGAAACTCAGATTTAGGTACATGGACTCCAGTTACATTATTTACTTAAGCCGACTTTCTGGCTTTACCGTATTTTAGCAAATATAACCAATGGGTTATATTCATTTTTACAAACCCTGTACCCCTCTGCGAGGTATACTCGGGTGCGGGGTATACAAAAATGTTTTTACTCAGCTGGTGGTGAGCGCTCCCCCGCCCCTTCCCCCACTGCACAGCCGCCAGCCT